ACTAAATCAATATTAGTCGCAAAAGTTTATTTGAGGATTGATTGTTGAATCCTCCCACAATGAGATGAGTATACCCTATAATGCAGAATTACTGATAGTCTCAAAAATTAATTAAATTTGAAAATATGCAATAGTATCGAGCAATCGGCAAATCAACTATTTAACTGTGATTTGAGGTCTGGGCGCCACATAGGCCCTGAGACCATCTTGCAGCCGAGTAGCAACATTGAAACTATGTTTGCAACCCGTTAGCTAATTGAGTTGGAGTTTCAGATAAAACTTCAGTTTAATTTGGAGGCAAGGATAAGTGGAAATTACTGCTCTCGTGAGGCCTAATCATCTCATTGAAGAAAAATTTAATCAATCAGTACTTAAATCATCTATGGTGACTATGCTGGTATACAAGAATTAATGATAGCCTCGTAAAGCATTTACATAAAATAGGGACAGGATGACAACGAATTTAGCAAAGTTAAATCTTCGAACAGTAATAAGTAATCTAAGCATGGGCTAGTGAATATATTTGCTTCTTGCTAAACATTTATCTAAACTGTGTCAAAGAAGTAACGTGTGCAGTAAACTAGAGTATAGAACCCACAACAAATATAAAATCACAACTAACGGTATTGGACATGGAAGCATACGCTCGTATAACGATTGAAGCTCCTATTGAGCATTAATTTTAGCAGTCGAAATAATGTCTAGGTTAGTCGAAGATATGAAGACCAGAATGGTATGGCCTTTTGTAGGGCCGCGGTGATATTAAAGGAGTGGTACGAGGATGTATGATAGGTGAATAGCCCAGGACGGAAGGAGATATACCCCAACTGTTAAGCACACATTTGGTAAAGGATCGACTTTACTTGCCTCTCTGACGAGTTGTAGTGTGATGATAAGAAGGGCAAGGCTCACTGACGATGCCGACTACGATGCCGGCGAAACGTTTGGAAATATACCAAGTCCACGGTCCGACAAGGAAATTATCATGCATACTATCGACTCTGGACAAGGTGCGTCCCCTAAGTCTTCCTGCCAATATGACTAAGTTTCGAAAATAAGGTTAAATAACTTCAATCCCTATGTTAGATAGCGGGGAAGTGTTTATAACAAGATTTTTATATTGACGAATTATTAGATGAGAGTTCTAAAACGGAGGTGAAGCTAGCTAATTTTTTTATTATTGCAAGTTCACGAATGTATAGTGCAAGCGAATAATCCAAATACAACCCAAGAAATTGAGAAAATTTAGCTAAGTAACATTTTGATGAGAGCATGCGTAATGTTTAGATAGTAAATATTGTTAGTGTA